CTGCTTTCCCAGGCCACAAGCAGGGAGCTTGAAGTTGAGCAGCCAGGACATGAACTGGTGCCCATTTTGGATCCTGGTGCATGCAAGGCAAGTCTAGCCACTAGGCTACCATGCTAGGCCCAATCATATAACTTGTAACTATAAAAAAGGCTTAACTCGTTGGCTTAATTACATGACCTCAGTTTCAATTTACTCTGAAATTCAGAGCCCATGGGACCAAATGCATTCGAAATTTAACACGTTTTATTTTAAAAACTAACATTTTTATTATGTGAGTATAATAACATTTATATTCTTTAGACTGGGGATGAAAAACATTTAGCTATAAACATGAAAAGGATGTTAGCCAAGTGAATGAGTAATGCCTCCCATAGTTAGGCTTGGCTGGGAGTGACAGAAAACCCAACACAACAGTGTACTGCTGAAGATAAATGTCTCTCGTGTGTAAATGCTGTTGGGCAGGCCCACCATCACCAGGGCCTGGGTTTGAGTCCCCACCCTGCCTGCCATCCAGCTTCCTGCTGACCATGCACACTGGAAGGCAACAGTTGGGGATCATATACTCGGGTCCCGGTCACCCCATGTGGGACACCCAGATTGTCCTCTGGGATCCCAGTTTCAGCCTGGCCAAGACCTGGCTGTTGCGCTCCTTTGCGGAATGAACCACCAGGTGAAAGATCTCAGGCTCTCTGCCTTTCAGATAAAGTGAAAAAACAAAACAACATGAAAGCAGCAACAGCGTATTGAAGGGATGTTGAGTAGAAGAGGGAAGGCCATTGCAAGGAGAAGGCAAACGCGGGAGCCCAAAGCCAGGGCCTGGGGGTGGGAGGAGAGAGCTCAAAGTTTCTCTTCTCCCTCAAGGCAGGGTAGAAGGCACTTAGGTGATGGGGCCAGGGGTGAGGTAGGGCTGCTCTGAGCAAAGACATGGGCTCCTTGTAGCTACTGGCCTTCCATCCTCAGCCCATAGCTTGTGGCTCATGATCAAAGACAGCAGTTCCAGCTTTAGCCATGGTGTCCACATTTTAGCAAGAAGGCAAGGCAAGGTGAGGGACATTTTTTCTTAGGCTGCTTCTCCAAAGTGGCCCCACCATTTCTGCCCCTATCCAGACCCAGCCAGAACCTATTCATGTATAAACAAACCTAGGAAACCCCTTCTATGCACTGTGTGCATGGCTGGAATACTGAGGACAATAACCAGTAAAGGACAAGCATGGCTTTGCTCAACATCCCTATACGTGGATAACGCACAGTTTGAATGGATCATGACACATCCTGACATAGTCTTTTCTCCAGACTTGGCTTTCCAATGATCTTCTCTCTCTGCCAATGGGCACTCATCTCCGTTCCCTTGCCAACACCTGTTGTCCACAGCGGCCTAACTTGTCTTTCATGTCCCTCTTGCCCTCTTACAGGTTATTTTTCACACTGCAACCAGAATGATTATCTCAGAAAGAAAGAAAAAAAATATGTCAATGTGTTGCTCTCTTGCTAAAGTCCCACAAAATATAAACTTGGAACAAATACTCAAAACTCTCACAAGACTTTCCTTCTGGCCCCAGCTCCCTCTTGCCCTGCTCACCTCTCATTTCTTCAAGGTTTTGATGTTTTCTGTTAGTTTCATCTCTTTAAAACACTTTCTTCTGATTAAATTCTTCGGTGACTCATAGATCATACAGTAGCATCATTTTCTGCAAGAAGGTTCTTGATTTTCATTTCTTCAATTACATGTTAGTCATTTAGTAGCATATTATTTAGCTTCATGATGTTGTTAATTTATTTTTTCTTCCTAATGTTGATTTTGTTTTGTGGGTTTTCATTTAAGGCGATGTATAATAGCTATGTAATGGAGACTGTCATAGCTAGTAACATGTCATTTAACTTCATGGCATTGTAAATTTCTATTTTTCGTTCTATTGTTGATTTTGTATTATGAGTTTTCATTTGAGGGGATGTACAGTAGCTGTGAAGTGGAGACTAACGTCCCCAGATGTGAGAATACAATGCAGTATGCATTTCTACTTCCAGACAAAGATGGACTTACAATGAAACTGTTTACTATATCTTGACAATAGGATGCTAGACTCTCTGCCATTGTCTGTGCCCACAATGATGGACATATGACTGAGTATGAAGAACCATACTTTAGTAATGATACAGAGGAACTAGGTGGGGAGGGGGGAATGGGGTGGGGATAAGGGAAATACCAGGAGCCTAGGGAGCCGCATCATAAAATAATAATAATAATAATAACAATAATAATAATAATAATATGTAAAATGTGAAAAAAATAAAGTACCCACAAATAGGATGAGAATTATCAGGTGTTTCTGGGCTTCAGCTTAAATCGCTCTTGAGAATGAATCCCCCGCTGTCCCCTCCTTTACCTTAGCAATTCAACACATCAAAAGCAACATTTGTTTAAAAAACAGGCTGGAGGGGTGGGCATTCGCACACTGGGCCCTGTTAGCATGCCTGTGTTAGAAGCTGTGCTCTGCTTCTGATCCAGCATCCTGGGGCTGTGCAGCTTGGGATGGTTCAAGCACGGAAGTCCCTATACCCATACAGGAGACATGGGAGGTGCTGCCTGCTTCAGCCTGCTCTAGCGCTGGCTGTTTGGGAACAACTGGAGAATGAATCAGGGGGTGGAAGAGCTCTATTTCTCTGCAAATAAATAAAAGCAACTAGTAAAAATAGACTGGAATCTCTAAGGTAGTGCCACGAATGGATGTGTCTTTAGCTCATTTGGCTCCAAATCCTATGATGCCTGAGACATTCGCTACCCACGTATTCCACCAAGCTCCAGGCCTTTTCATCACAAATCTTATGGGAAAGTGCCATTTCCCTGTTTGACAGATAAGAAAGAGGGTCAGGGAGATCACCCAATTCTCTGAAGGTCACACATTTATCAATAAAATCAAATTTACACTCAAACCTTCTCAGCTGCAGGCTGACCTTCTGGGTCAAGGATATTAAGCTGAGAGACTAGCAGTGTATTAAACACATGCATACACACTCGGACGACCAGCACTTTCCTTCCCCCACCTTTATGTGCCCTCGGACATCTCAGTTCCCAACTTGGTCTTGAACTTGACATCCCGCTCAAGAATTGGAAGCCCTCCAAGCTCCATCCACGTCACCGGGCCCCTCCCCCTGTCCCGCCTCCCTGTAGACCTAGCCTAGGCTCCCGGCACCCTCTGCCCCAACGGCCACTTCCTGTCCAGCTCTGGGAGCGTCAGGTCAGTACCGCGGGTGGCCCCTGGGTTCCCCTAGGACTTTTCCTCGAACCGGCCCGCAAAGCGGAGCGCAGGACTCTGGGTCGGTTGGGTCCTCGCTGAAGGCACAGTACCGCAGCAGTCCGGGATCTCCATGGGACTAAGAGACCGGAGGACACAGAGAGCGGTTGCTGGGCAACGGCGCCGCCCGGTCCCTCTGCACGGTGCCTGGGAGTGCGGGGCGCGCGCGTGACGGGGTACTCGGGCCGGGCTCCCCCGACCTGGCTGTGGCTGTCCACCCGGCCCACTTTCAACCCCGGGGACTCTGGCCCTGCGGTGGGCGCCTCCTTGGCCGGTGCCCAGCGGCAGGGCGTTGGCACTGTCGCCACTAGTGAGCAGCCTTGCTCCCACTCCAGGTTCCGCAGCAGGCACCTGTTCCGCTGGAGTTTCTGCCATTCGAGCAGGAGCGCTCGCGCGGCCTATAGGCTCAGGCCTTGTCTTACAGGAGGGTGCCGCTCACTTCATCTCGGTGCGTGCCTGCTGCCCACAGCAGCGCGGCGCCCTTTGTGTCACTGTTTCCATGGTGAGGAGGAGGACTACAGGTTCAGAGCTGGGAGGATTGTAGCTGTGGTCATGGAGACTCAGAGCAAAGGATCACTGCTTCTTCCTGTGATTTCTGGTTTTTGATTCTGGGTGTCCTCTACTCCTATGCCTCGTTGTAAATGAAAATCACCTGCACAGAGGCTACACTACACCTTAGTGGGGGCAGGGGGTGATTGGTGAAACAGTTAACATGGGATACTCTCCTTCTCCCACCCTGCGTGAGTACCTGGGTTGCATGGCCTGCGTGGTCACCAGTTCTAATTTCCTGCTAATGCCCACCCTAGAAGGTGGCCGATGATGATGGCGCAAGGACTCGGGGCCCTGTCACCCATGTGGGACACCAGCCTCAACTATTTTAAGACATTTGGAGAGTGAACCAACAGATGGAAGAGCACTCTCTGCTTATCTGTCTGACTTTCAAAAGAGTAAATAGAAATCCAAAATCAAATATGCATTGCTGAGCCCCACACTAGGCTTACTGAGCATCTTGGGCGGGTGGGGAGAGCCGAAGCTTCTTTCACAAGCCTCTGGATGCTCTCTTTCTGGCTTTTGAGTGAACTTCTTGGTGCTACTGGCTATACCATTTGGCCCTCTGACCCAGAAACAACTGGGAAGTGGTAAGCCCAAAATAGCCAGGAAGAAGCAGAGTCAACTGGAACACTGTGGGATCCATTTCTAATCCCTTCAGCCCATTGGTAGCTTCTTTTCAGTCCAGAATCTTATAAACAAGTGTGGATGTTTATATGCAAATACCGAATCCCTGGGCACCTGTCACACTTCCAGGTGCAAACTTTTTCCTAGATGGAGCCATCCGGCATTAGCATCCTCTCTTCCTGGCTTACCTGTCAGCCACTCTCCTGGCCTCCCTCCTGCAGGTCCCCAAATCACGGGAGATAACGCCCGCTTTACAGGAATGTTTTGCCAAGCGATTTGCCAGCGGGGAGAGGGGCTGGCAGCTTTCCGGAAGTGTTGCCACAAATAATGAGTGTCCCTTGGCCTTAGCAGTCAGAGTGAAATGAATCATCCTGCTCTTGCTCATGACGTTTATGCACACTAATCTGACATACAAATGATCACTTGGCTTGGTTTGGGAAGACTTATTAGCTTGACAATCATCTTTAGTGTTTCATTGTTATTAATTTCATCCTTTATACTGCCCCTCCCCTTCAGGGATTCTGGTCCACAATGGCTGACGATCAAGACAAAGATTTGCAGAGGTTTCTTAAAAATGTGGATGAGATTGGTAAGCACTGGGAAATCATCAACAAATGAAATTCTTTTTGAGAGGTGGGGTGGGTAAGGAGAAATGATTACTCCAAGTGAGTTCCTCAGTTGCTTGACAGCTTTATGACTCTTAAGGCAAAAAAATGAAATTGAAATTAAGCAGAGTATTGAGAAGCAAGTTATATAAGAGCCTCAGGGAAGAATTTTCTGGCTAATTGATAGCACAAAAGCTGTCAACATTCTGATTGGAATTCAAGCCAGCAGCTCATCTCCACCTTTTGTCCCCTTTCCGGCTCTAAAAGGGTTGCTATTTCTGTTACGGATATAGCTAGCTTAATGTTCATGCCAAGTGCCTGCCCCCACTGAGATGAAAATTCAAAGCAGAAGCATGCATACAGGGTACAAGAGAGAGCAGGACTTAGTTAAAAGAGAGTGAATATAAATTCACCTTCACACGTGGGCTGGAGTGGCCCATGAGGAGAGAGCAGAGAGAGTGTAGGAGGAGGCCAGAGAAGTTGGGACCCATATGTTGGGGTGAGGGAAAGCAAAGCTAAAAGCAGAACAGGGTGTCTCTCTGTATATCAAGGTCTTTTATATGCTCAGGGGTGATGTCTTTAATTGAATGTACAGAGTGGCATTCAGTGTGCCACTAAAAGGATGAGCTTTCTGGGAGCTTTGTAGTGCCTCCGTATGGAGCTTCCATGTCTTTATGGCGTGTCCTCCTTCTGGTCCCAGCGATGAGACAAAGGTGTCTCATGGGAAAGTCCACCTACTGGACTGACAGACAAGAGGATGGGGTTACAATGCAACGCTACACAGAAATTGCGAAAATCTCAATCCAGTCATTCCTGCCTAACCTTTCTGCGTATATCATTTCCTCATTGCCCATGAGTCCTTCAGGATTACTTAGGAGCCTCATCCAGCAGTCTGGGATCACTCTTGATTTAGGGCAGAACTGTTTCTGTTTTTGAGCTGAATAGACAAAATCAAGTGGCTTCCCTCCAGATCCAGCAAATGATATGGGTGGCCATGATTATCATTCTCTCCTCTGCCCACCTCAGCATGAGGGGTCCCAGAGGATAGACTCCTATCCCCGCAGATTCCATTCAGACTATTACAAACCAGCCAGTCCCTGTTGGATGACAGGGAACTCGTCTGAGCTCAGAAACCAGCAGACAGACATCACTTAACAAATACGAACGGTTTTCATGGGAAACGTGTGCATAAGATAAAGCATGGATTCTGTGAAACGTTTGTGCTGAAATAAACTTACCTATCAATTTTATTTTTCCACATACATTTTGACGTGCTCTCATATTTATATTGTGATTCTTGGTGTGAGTCCAGAAGAAAAAAAAAATCCTCCTAAAATGTTGAGATAATTTCATAAACAATCCATCCCTTGTGTTGTTCCCTCTGTTCCCTGGTTGGCCTCCCTTTTGCTCCTCCGTGAATGCTATGCTGAGACAATCTGGCTCACTTTCCTCTGCAGGTGGACCAGTCTCAGCACATGGCATCATCACCTGTTGACTGGTGACCCTCATGTCTAGAGAGCCGCCCGGATGCCTTTTCCAGGCCTTCGCCTCTAAGGCCAAGTGTCGGGTCCTGCAAATACCTCAGTGTCTCCAAATTTGAGTCATCCTGTCTTGCTTTGCTTTTCCTGTTGTTGCCTGGTCTCAATTGATGGCAGCACCCCCCAGGTATACACGAATCTTGCTGGCCTCCTTCCACCTCTCGACCCTACACACAGTCAGTTACCTGGCTTCACTTGTTTCTCAGTCCTTCCCTCTCTAGCCCTCTCCACCTTCTGGTCCTTCTTCCCCAGACTACTTCAACAACCCCCTAACTGTTTTGTTGCCTTCAGGCTTTTACTCCCTACAGAGTAATGTATCTAAAATGCAAATCTGGCCCAGACACTTCTCTACTCAGCTCCTTCACAGTCAGGATCAATTCCAAGCTCTCAACAGGACTGAAATCCTCACCTGACCTTGTCCTTCCTTCTCTCACCTCCCTCCCCAGCTCACACTGGAGCAGTGGCAGACCACTCAGTCACATGCTAATGTTCTATCCATTGCACATGGTCTTTGCCATCCCCCGCTGCCTTTCTTGACTTGGCTAACTTTTATCCTGACTCGAAGTTCTTGGATGCCTCATCCTACAGTGTTATCATACAATAGAACTTTCTGTGATGATGGAAGTGTGCTGCAGTCTGCCCCATCTGTGGAGCTGAACAGTGGCCACATGTGACTGTTGCACAGTTACAGTGAGGTTGGTGTGAATGAAGAACCAAGTTTTTCATTTTATTTTCTGCTTTGTTGATTGAAGTGTATATGGACCATGGGCATAGAGAATCTACTTTGATTCCTTGGGCACTTGTGTGTTGTGCTTCTAGGCATTGCAGAGCACAGTAAAAAAAAAAAAAAAAATCATCTTCTTTCATGATATCTATTGCCCAGAATGGAAAAGAGATATTCAACAGGTAATTTTAAATGTGATTAGTGATACAATGAGAGTACAAGAGAATCTAACCTAGTTTAGGGGATTATATTAGTCTGTTAGGGTTGCCTTACCAAAATACCACTGACTGGATGGCTTAAATAATACAAATTTATTTTCTCCAAACTTGGAGTCTAAAAGTCCAAGATCTAAGTGTTTCCATGGCTGGGTTTTCCTGAGGCCTCTTGCCTTGGTGAATGGATGACCATCTCTCTGTGAGCAGCCATCTCTCTGTTCATGTTCTTGCAAGGACATCAGCCATTGTAATTTAGGACTCCACTCCTCAAAGACCCTATTTCATATCCAATCCCCTTGAGGGATAGGGTTCCAGCATATGGATTTTGGGGGAGACACATTTGAGTTTATAACAGAGGCCAGATACAGTATTGAAGGAGGACAATTTCAGCCAAAATTTGATGAGTGGTTAGGACTTGGCCATGGATGAGAACATCAGAGAGTATTCCAGGTGGTACAGAAGGAAGCTAGGAGCTCTTGAGAAACTGAAAGATTGCAAAGTCCTATCTAGCTAGAGAGATGAGATCAGCCTGCGAGAGCTGTCATCAGGGTGAAGGGAGCCCAGATCAAGGAAGACTTTGGGAGCTGCATTAGGGAATTTGCTTATCCCAAGAGTGGTGAGAATCTTTGGAGGGTTTGGTTAGAGAAGGCTTAGAAAGTCAAGCCAGCTGTGGTGTAGAATGTAGGTTGTAAGAGGAAAGAAAAATAGGCACTAAGAGACAAGTTAGGGACTCAGAATATTCTAAGGAAATGGGACTGGGAGCTTGGTTTAGAGTTTGGTGTGGGAACTGGACACAGTAGGTTGGTTTAAGACGTGTCTCAGCCATGAGGTCTGAGGGAGAATGAAGACTAGGATGAGTCTTGAGAGTTTCTGATGACATTGCAGGTGGATGGTAAAGCTGTTTATTGAAATGTGAATTTAAAGCTGAAACAGATTTGGTAGAAAAGGAAAATAGACATGTTGTTTGATGAGTAAGATACTGTAGTGGACCAACTCCTGGAAATTTACCCAGATGAAATTAAATCAGCATATGAAAGGGTTATCTGTACTCCCGTATTTATTGAAGCTCAATTCACCACTGCTAAGATGTAGAATCAACCCAGATGTCAATCAAACTGAGGCCTGGATAAAGAAAACGTGAGATATAAGCACTATGGAATAGTACTGAGCCACAAAAAGAATGAATTCCCATCTTTGCAACAAGATGATTTAACTGGAAACCATTTTGCTTAGTGAAATAAGCCAATCTAAAAAAAAAACCCAAAAAACAAAAACAAAACAAATTTTATTTAGTATGTGGCAGTTATAATAGAGAATGAGAATTAAATGGACATCTTGTGTTATGATTGTCATTTTTGGTCCTTGTTTATATTCCTGTTGAACTATGGTCTTCCCACTTTCTACTTGGTGAATATTATGGTTATTGGTGAATTAAGCCAATAAATATAAAATGGATTAAAATTATATCTTTGCAAAAAATAATGAAAAGAAGCAGAGGGAGACAAGAAGGGCAATTGGGAAGTTATCCTCATAGAATTGTACTTATGAAGTACAGGAAATCTGTTCTATTTATATTAATAATTTTTTTAAAAGACAGTGTAGTGAAAATGGTCATAAAACAGTTGGTCCTGCCATGCCTGACTTCAGATAGAGAAATGAGCTGGAGATGTTGTTCAGGAGGCATTGACGTTTGAATGGTGTTTGGAGCCATCGCAGAGAATGGCTGAAAGAAGGTATCAGAGAAGAGGGCCCCAGATAGGGATTTGAGGATCGCTATGACTTAATAGGTAGATTAAAGAGAGGATGGCATTGTGGCACAGTGGTTTGGCTGCAGTTGCAGCTAATGTGCCTGAGAAAGCAGCAGTGGAAGGCCCTAATACTTGGACCTCTGCTACCCAGAGTAAACCAGGATGGAATTCCTGTCTTTCACCTAGCCCAGACCTGGTTTTGTGGACATCTGATGGTTGAGACAGCAGATAAAAAAAGAAATTCCTCTCTCTCCTTACCCACTTCCACTGCCTTTCAAATTAAATAATTTTTAAAAAGAAAGACAAAAGAAGAGAAACAGCAAAAAGGAGGCTTAAAGATGATGGCTGAAGATATAGGGAAATTAAATAATTCAGTTATCAGAGCGAAGGGAAAAACCAAAACCAGAGAAGAAGAGGTGTTCAATATTGTCACTTGTTCCAGAGTTTAACCAAAATAAGGACTAAAAAGTGACCACTAAGTTTAGCAAGAAGGAGATGTTTATAACCATTGGGAATGACTTTGAAACAGTAGTGAGAAAATAAATTTTCATGTGTTGAAGAAGAAGTGGAGGCTTTCATTTCTAGCAATATCACTGATTAGGTAGTCCAAAACCCTTGCTACTTCAAAACATTTAGAAAGGCTGGAAAAAATATAGTAGACATCAGAATTTTAGTAAGCATGTTTATTAAAGTTGTAAGCC